TAATATTAATTTATCTCCTCCACTAGATATCAAACGATTCTATTGTTCATTTAAACTTAATCCAGATATCCAACTAGTATGATCTGTAATTGTTTATTAACATTACCATTCATTTTTCTTAATCCAAAACTTAATTGTCTTATCTGGACTACCTGAAATGATAAGATTTTCGATATCATTTAAAATCATGCATCTTATATAATGTGTATGACCAATAAGCTTTTATTAACAAACCCATTCTTTATTTACATTAAGTGACCATACTATTATCTATTTATCTGCACTTCCAGATATAAATTGAGTAGATTTCTTCATGAAATATAAAGTATGAACGTCATTTTAATGCTCACTTAGAAGTTAAATTTATTTTAATTATACTTATTTAAATTCAAATACTTTGATAAGATTATTGCATCCAGCTACAACTAATGTACAATCTTTATTGAATGCTATTGCTCTACAGAATTCATTTTATTTAATTGAATTTTTTTCGAGTAATTTATAAGTAAATGACTTAAATTATTATTATTTATCTTTAATTGAGATAGCTTCAGATAGTTATTATTATTAATCTTGAGGATTTTTATTATCTTTTTTAATTTGTATTGATAATTACTATTCCTATTATTTATGTTCAAAAACTATTGAATTTAGATTCAATTAATCAATAATGTCAGTACTTTAACTTGCTATAATATTTGTGCTCTGTTAATTTAATTAAAGTGAATTATTAATATTCTTTTCTTATTACTTACTTATCAAATGAATAATTTAATCAAAAAATGTTGCTTATAATTCTTACAATGATTTCATTGTATCTTTTGCAATCTCATATACTATATTCTCTTTTATATTATATTCTTCTAATAATGGATCCTCTTAAATATATGATTGATTAATTTAACATAAATCTTATGCAATCATAATTATTTACTCTTTAGTCATAGATTACCAAGATATATTTACTAAATTACTTATTTTTTAATTAACTTATAATGTATAATCTTCATAATTTGAATTAAACTTAATTGTTGCATTATCAATTGCACTATTAAATCCTTTTTGAATGGCTAAAAAGTATTCTTTAATTGATTTCAATTTTATTTTTAATATTTCAACATGATTATTCATTTTCTCTATTCTTTTTTATTATACTTATTGCCACATAATTTAAGCTTTTTTAATTGATGTATATTAATTTATTGTTCCATCTAAACAATCCAAACATCCTATACGCTTTTAGTTAGATCTTTCTACACTTAAATCAAATAAAGTAATTTATTTATTATGATCTTCACAAAGCAGATTTAATTCCTAATTTTAATTTATCAAAATACTTCATCAATATTGTTATTTTCCTTTATATTATATGATTCTAATCTAATAGGTTTATATATATAGTTTTCAAGAAGACCTTAACACTTTTTCATTAAATCTGTTTCCTTTAAATCCATAATTAATCGATTAATTTTCTTTATTCTATCAATCTAATCTTTATTTTAAGCATATTCTTACTCCTTTATAAACTGTATAAATAAAGGGAAATCTATTAATTCATCTGATTATAACTTATTTATAAACACATCTTCTTCATCTTTAAGTTCTTATGACCAAGATTTAATATATTAAGAGATTTACTCTATTTACTGTGTATAAAAGTTTCTTAATTATTCAACAGAATCATTTAAATTATTTAAACATTGCAATTTTGTTTACAATTAAGTAGATCTATCTGACTAAATGAACTATTTTGTTTATTTTATTTAATTAATCTAAACATAATTGTATTTCACATTCTGTTTATTTATTTTTACATTACAATTTGTACATAACCTTTTATTTTCTAAATCCTATTATTTTTCATTTGTCTCCAAAATATTCTCATTATTATTTATAGAACTTTGTTATCCTAACTTTTAATTCATTTTAATAATTATTTGTTTATAAAGAATATTTTGTCAGTTAGAATTTCCTATAAATAGATTAAAATAATCAATATTCAGAAAAATAAATAATTTATAAAAATAGAAAGATTAAAAACATTTATGTAATACAGAAACAAAATTGTCAACTAAGTTTTGCACAATATATAATATTAATAATAAATGTAAAATTAAATAATATAATTATTACCTTGAGAATTAAGCTCATAATTACATCTAATAAAGATTTAAGTTTTGGGTTTAATACTTAATGTTAGTAAAATATATTGAATAAATATTCTCTTCGATTTTATTATTTAATTCTTTAATGTAGTTACTAATTTATTATCATTTAATTGAAAAGAAATCTGATTAATTCTTGAATATTCAATTATCAATAAGCAATTTCTGTTAGCATCATAGAATTATTGAAAATGTTCTTTAATTTTGGATTCAAATATAGATTTTCATTATATTATAAACAAATTATATATTTAGTAGTTTTTAATGTGATAATTTAATTACTATTATTATTTAAATTATTTATTGGAGAAATTTAAATATTTCAACTTTAGTACTTTTAATAATTCTAAAATAAATCAATTTTCATTTATTTTTATTACAAAAATAAATTAATTTTAAGAATCATAATGATAAATTGTTTTAGTGATTCTATTTTGTAATTCAATTGCTTTGCATCATAAAACAAATATGAAAATTCTGTTGAATATTAATGTTTGGAATATATTTAAAACATATTGGGTTCTATAATTCCAATAAGATCAAATTTAAAAATCTCTATAACAGATGATTAATAAATAATATACATTTCT